TGTGTCAGGGTGACGGGCGTAGTGGCAGTGCCCCTAAGACTTTCGCGATTGCGACAGGCGTGTCGCTTACCACCAGGGGCACGACTCGTTCGTCCCAACACATATTGGTATCATAAAAAAATGGTTTGCTACACTACCACCAACTAGTATATTTAGTGAACCACCTACAATGCGTTCGAAGCCTAATGTGGCGCCACAACCCACTGCTGCCTGTAATATCGTTTGAGAGTACCCCATCCCCAAAATTTTTATAATACACCATGTGGCCTTAATTCCGTCATAAAGCGAACTTCGAGATTAATAATAACCTCGGATTCAAGACCTTAATAGCTTCTGAGATGGCTTTGTGACTTCGGATATAAAGTATATCCATTAAGGGGAACTACTAAATATGGAGTGTACTGTGAATTATTACAAATACTGTAGTGATGCGGTTGGGAAAGAGTGATAAGGTTTATTATTGTTTGATAGTTTATATCCGACAGATAGTTAAGATAGCTTACATTGTTAGAGGCGCTGATTAACATTAAATATGAGTGAATTACGAAAACATAGTTTTTTTATGATACTAAATGACGAGACGAATAAGTTGTTCACCCGGTGGTAAGGGCCACGCCTGTCCATTGCAGTGCCACTCAGAGCTTTAATTCGCAAAGATTTGACAAGTTTCATGTGCCTGTAATTTCACCAGCACCCTTACCCTTCAAAACCGGAACACAGTAATGCTCACAGTACTGCTTGGCGGCAGAAATAGATAAGGCGGCAGTACTTCCACGAACTCTTTTACAAGGAGTTCTAGATGAAGTTCTAGAAGAAAGAGAAAGATGTGGCCTTATTGCACAAAGGTGTGAATTACTTATTTACTAAAATCGGAAGTATATTCGAGTGTACCAAATCCTTGTATAACTACTGTGAAAGTGTTTATACAGTGCAGTGAGATTACCCTGAACTGGATAGATAAAACGTTAAATACCTCTATGTCAATGGAGAGTGAATAGACATTCTCAAGCACACTTAAGGAACAAAGATTAGTAACCCTACTAGTTTTATGAGCTCATTAGAAAATGGTACGAACACCGCCATTTTCACAATAAACAATAAAACCCTATAACGAATCGTAGGGGCTTTTTGTTCTATGTAGTTAAGTTAATTGGGTCTAGAGTAGTTGAATCTAAGGTTACTAACGGAATGTGAATAGTATCACCTTAGAGCGATGTCATAGGGGCGTTGCCGATACGTTGCGTCGTCGAAACGCTATGATTTCAACGCACCGAGTGCCACACGAGCAATACAGTGTCGCAACTTAACGCACCGCAACACCACTCCCCGCTTCGTCGCCAAGCCCCTTCGGTTCGGTTAGTTTCAGCGCACCTTGTGGTTTTAATTGGTATTGGCTAAATGGTGACCTATTCTGTGTGGCATGCAGGGTAGCATACAATGATTGGTTGTTTTTTGTTAAGCATAATTTTTACTCAGTGTTTCTCTCTTCTTTTTTCTTCAAGTTATCGCCTTCGTCGAATAAATGATTTTTCGATTTCTGTTTCTATTTCTATAATTTATACTTAGTACTACAACACAGCGTCACCGCTTAGGCGCCGCAACGTGGACGCAACGTATCGTGAGGCACCACTCTGTCTATAGGTGTCAAAGGTAGCGAATAAGGTGTAAATGTAGCAGACATGTAATAGATAATATTCTTGATTTTTTTTTCTTACAAGACGTTTTGGTTCGGTTTGCTTACTTCAGTCTTTTCTTAACTGCCTTCGTGACCGGTTACCATGCTGGACTGCCACGCAGAGGTCCCGGGTTCGATTCCCGTGCCGAAAAATATATTTATATGGCCTACATTTATTTCTCTCGTGGGTTCTTAGGGTACTTTGTGGTTATCCAACTAAGTGTGTGTCCATGGTCCCCGCGATACAAGGTTTACCTAGTGCGGGCGGGGATATGAGAGTGTGCGTTGTTATTATTATTATTATTATCTTTTAGCTAATTACTTCGAAACGAATGAATCGATTTCATGTGGTTTTAGACAAGATCATACAAAAGCGTAAACAAATTTAGCTATTAAAAGATCCATATAAATGTTTTCGTCGATTTTCATGTTTTCAACACAATTTGGTACAATAAACCACAAGTTACAGTCACAATCACATGAAAATCATAAAAAATATTCTAACTATATGAAACAAATTAATACATATAGTGAAATTTTGTAACTCCCCTAAAAATGTTATTGACTAATTCTGTTCGTAGAACCTTGGAACCTTTTTCCTGAAAAGTTATATTTCTTTATTCTAAAATATTTGTGTCATCTATTTGTAACTTCTGTTTAATTTTTAATTACCCCGGTGGCTCAACGGTAAGTATTTTGGATGCTGATGCTGGATCAATTTGGGTAACGAACTTTTCATAATTGGTTTTTGTCTGGGTATGTCCAACGAGCTGTGGGCAAAGACCACCACGGAACGCAAGACGAAACCGTGGAAGACCCAGAACGAGATGGCGTGACGAAATCGACGCGTATACGAGGTCTTGGCCTGCAGAGGGACAATAATAACTGAAAAATTAAAATTAAAATGTTCCGGGTAGCTGGAGTGAATTTCGTTAGTCTAGTACTCTCAGGTCAGGGTGGGAACGCCATATATTGGGTATCAGAATATTTATGTCTGAGTTCGTAATTCCCTTTTCAGACCCTTTCCAAAACCCCAATACGTGTTACGCCAGATCCGCATCAGCCTTTACGGCGCTCGTACACAATGATTCATAATTCATTTATTTATGAAAACGCGCGTTGTATAGAAGTTGACATGTACAAAAATAAGCATAGTTTCACTTTGTCCGGCCAAACATTGGGCATACAAACATGGTGAAGGCTTAGAATAATAAGGCATAGAATGATAGTTTCATATCAAACGAACTGTCACAAGTGAGGCAAAAATCAAATTCATGTACGCTAGTTTTAGTAGTACGTTAATTTTCGGTTTTAGTGAATATTTATATAAAAATACAAGTTGAAACGCGTTACTTCCTTGCGGAATGTGATGTTAGTATCTATTTTATGTTTGTCTGACGTATTTTTACACTCATTTACCGCACATTTCGTCATTTTTAGATAAAATTCTTGATCTCTTCGCGGTGCAAGTTGACCTTGAGCACTGAACCCGAGCCCGCCCGCTCGTGTAGGCCCTTTTGGCGCGCTTCAATTTGCCTCACTTAGCGTGTGCGTTATTATTCTAAGGTTGAAGGTATATAATTCAATCTATTTTATTTTCATAACATACAGGTAAGGTACAGTAAAAGCTTAAATACTGGAAAGTAAAACTAGGATTAAATAATATGAATAAAATTGGGTCCCCGCGGCAAAGTGCCCAAGTTGCTGGCAGCGTTCTCCTTATGTATGGCTATGCTAATGCTATCTGCGGGCCATTGGGTTTTCCAGACAGTCTGTTAAATTTTTGTAGAAAATTTTATACAGATGTAGGGCACCGGGTCCCCACGGGCCAAGCGGCCAAGGATTTCGACTCCAAAGGATGTAAATAGGTAGCCGGAGTCGAGAACCTGGTACTTATTACTCTTTATTGTTTTTTCTAGCTCAGCTGCGGAGCCAGCCCTCTTGCTGGTTTGCTGGAGATTGGATGGGCCAAGTGTGTCGGCACACGCGGCATCCACACCAGTGCCCGGCCCATACTCCAAGGGATGAGAGTAATTTCGTCCAGGCGTTTGCCTTATGGCAAATTGTATAAGATATGGGTATAGAGGGCAATGTATACGCTTCTATAATAAGATTCCGGTTGATATTCAAAATTTGCCTTTTATGAGGCTTAAACTATAGCAAAACAAAAACTTTATACAAAAGGTTATTATCAGTTTCCGCGTATTTCGATAACAAAAATCCTTGGTAGTCCTGGTTAGCTCTTGCAGGTAGTTTAAATTAAATATTATAATGATAAATGTATTCAAATGTATATTTAGAAGCTGTTGCAAGTGATCACATCATATGGATCAGAAACGTTGTCCCTCAGTATGTGCCCCGTAAGAAGAGAGCGATGCTCGGTATTTCCCTACGTGATATCCCTAGAATCAGAATTCAGGGAATCCGTAGGAGAACTAAGGTAACCGACATAGCTCGAAGAATTGCTCAGCTGAAGTGGCAGTGGGCGGGGACACTTAGCTAGGAGAACCGATGGCCGTTGGGGCGGAAAGGTTCTTCAATGACGACGTTCAGTGGGTAGGCCCCCTACCAGGTGGATCGACGTTTACCTTACGAATGAGGCGTAGCGTTTAATTAATATGACGATTTCAAGTGTAATTTGCTTACCTATGAAATAAAGATGATTTAAATTTGAATTTGAAAAAACACTGTGATAGTTATGTGGGTCAATTTCAATGATTTAGTTCAAGTTTTATGTGGATATGATACCGTCGTTTTAAAATGCGCCGATTCCGCTAACGTCAGGGTTGCAAGACTCAGTGCTATGATGAGACAACTAGACAGTTATAAACATTTATGCGGTATTATTTTGTAAAATGTAACTAGATGTCAAAATAATAATAATAATAATTTCAATAACGTCAAAATAAATATTCAAAGCGACCTCGACTTTAAGCAGGAATTTTTCAATTTAGTACCACCCTCACCGTTCCTCTTTCGGTCGACTAGAAGGTCCGGAACACGCCATCTTTATTTCGTTGATGTACCACCTATTCGCATTAAGCGCTTTGCTTCCTCTTTTCTGATGCATACGGCAAAGGAATGGAATACTCCACTGGCGTCTGTGTTTCCCGAAAAGCACAATTTGGGACTATTTAAGGCTAGAGCGAATAGACATTTTTTAGGCATCCCATCGTCGGTCACATACTCGTTTAACATCAGGCGAGATTATGACCAAACGTGTATCTATTAATATATTTTAAAAAAATTCAAAAATTAAATCTATTAGAATTTTTTTCCTCTCTTTTAGTTTTTCATCGTGTATGGTTTTCTTTTATGAACTTACCGCTGATTGTGAAGACTGGGTTCCCGTCGAGGTGGGGAGAGTGGTGCTCGATTTTTGTTGGTTTGACATCTGGCGCTCCGACCATGCCTGCAAAAAGTGAATACGATAAATTAACAACAGTAGATATATACGAGTAATATAATGTTGTCTGTGGTTTTAGTCATACATATAATTCTCGTGGATGTTTGATGAAATGTTTCATTTGAAAAAAGATTGACTACATTGATTTCTGTTTAACGTTCAGCGCCTCCTTCAAAAGATTACAGTGACATTTATCGTTAACATCGAGTATATAACCAGAAATAGAGACGAAATGCCATTGACTTACAATTATATGGACGTCGGGTCCGCGCTAAAAAGTGTCCGCACTTGTAAGGCGCTAAAATCGTATACAGAGCGCCAAACTCCGCTTTAGTCTTCATTTGTTCGACTGACAGCGCGATACTGCGATGACATTACAATTTAAATTTCGAATAGGTTGACTTGGGACATTTTTTTCGTGGTTTTTGTATTAGACCCGTCGTCCATTTATTTGTAAGTCAATGCGAAATGCCATTTGATTTGTTTGAAAACTATTCGGATAAATAAATGGATTATTATTATTATTATTATTACTGTGATAACTGCGCTCCGATTGACCAGCCCGAATTCGAAACAATTGACGAGTGTCGTCAATTGTTTCACTTCAAATCGACCAGTTTAACTTGAACTTTGCTATAATGAACGAAAATTGCTAAGTTACATATTTAATATTTCATTATCCACGCCACCGAATGGAACAGCCCCCATTGTTAGAAATATTATCTTTATTATTACAATAAACAGAATATTTTTGGAATCTACGGAGACGTACACACTGGTCAGTTGAAGGCGCTGTACTGTTTCAGTTTTCTAATTTGTGATTTCAGTGCAAACGAGAGTTGATATTTAAAAGTGGTATAAGGCCAAATGGGCCTGATGAGTTGCCTGGGATGGATGACACTTATTTCGTCTCTATTTCTGGTTATATGCTCGATGATCGTTATTAACGGCCGCGTATACAAAATGTTGTTTCTTCTTGTGCTTATAATTTGCCATACAAAATTGTGAAGTAATTTACGCGGTCGCTAGCTTATTAACTGTCACAGTATGTGTCACAGTGATGCACTGGATACGTGGCAAATAGTTTATCTAATTACGTCAATGAGTATAGACTCTGTCAGATGATGTAGTAGCTACAGAAATGTGTTTTGAAAACTTGACAAATTACTATTGAACCCTGAAATGATAGCGCTAATTAAAATTCCACAACACATTGAGGATCAATTTTGTACTTTGCCACATTTAGTTATATTTATATGTCTATATTGCTCTCCTTGCCATAAACAACGCATTTGCATTTTGGTAACTTTCGAGCTATTGGCACCTAAATCTTTTTTTTGTTTCAAAAAGGCAATTACGTAAATTTTGCTTAACAATAAAAAGGAAACTAAATAAGATATTAAAAAACCCATCAAAGGAATCAGCAAAACGAGATCTACAACCCGATCTCGTCACCGTGGAACCCGATCTCGTTTTGCTGATTCCAGATATGTTAATTACTCAATTTCAGTAAAAATGTCGATTACGTTCATTATGATAAGGCGGGCAGTATACAGGGTAAAATTGTACAATACTAACAACCTCGCAGTATACTACCAACATCACAAACAACAATTTTTGTTCCAGGACTTTTAATGATTCTCCACATTTAAGTTTCATACATTCAAATTTAAATAGATCGCTCTAAACGATGATAACTCTGTGCAAAACGCAAGTAGGGTACGCTTGCGCGTTTAAATACCTTCAATGAACTTTACGTCAATTTTATTTTTTGATCAATTTCTGTTATTATTGTAAACAGCCATATGTATTAAAAAATATTATGGTCCCCGAATTTTGTGGAAAAAGAAATAAAGAATATGAAAAAAATTCGAAAAGAAATCAAAAAAATAATTTTGTAAAAAGAAGGAAATAAAAACGGAACAGGTCCAAAAATTACGTTGGCGTAATGTTCATTGGAGGTAGCGGTTTGAACTTACTAAATACAGATCTAAACAATGTCAATATAAACTCAAAAGTTTATTATTTAACCGACTTCAGAAAAAGGAGGAGGGTTCTCAATTCGACGTATTTTTTTATGTACATTACGCGATTTTGACGATTCTTTTTTTGTAGAAAAGAGGGCACATGAGGGTATTGCTCCCATTTAAAAGAAATGTACTATGTTTCGTTAAAAGTCATGGAACAAAAGTTATTGTTTATGATGTAACTAATATAGTCTTGAGAGATTGTTAGTACAAATTACCCTGTATAAATGAGCATGGCTACAGTGTCGGCAAAAAATTTCTAGAGTTTTCGTTTTTTTTAAGTGTAAGCTGACATGACAAGCGTCATCAGTGTATATAGGCGTCAAGCGTGCTGGTATTGGTAATTAAACAGAATGGTGAAACAAAGTGGTGGCAAATAACATTCAACCTCGCACCGAGGCGCGTACACTCAGTTCTCTTGAATACTGGCACAAATCAACGCACCCTTGTCTGATAAGCCTGAATGTCATATGTATAGAGATGGATGGAAGAACATCTTAAATAATTGTATGTATGTTTTTCGAGAAGAATAAATCCAAGTCCACCTATAGTTGTTTGGGTACGGTAGGTCGATACGTTGTTATCGATATTGATATCGACGAACAAGTATACATACAGTGTTAATAAATTCATAATAATGTATTTACTGTGTATGAATGTTTTGTGTACTTAAGTTTAGATGTAAGTGTATATGTACAGGTGTAAGTGTATATACATAGGTTTAAGTTTTCTTAAGCAGTTGTGCTTGCTCCTTGTGAAAGAGTTCGTCCAGGGAAGTACTGCCACCTCACCTTTTTCTGCCGCCAAGCCGTAATATGAGCATTACTGCTTTCCAGTTTTGAAGAGTAAGGACGCTGGTGAACAAGCACGTGAGAATTGTCAACTTATGAGTGCCACTGCAACTGTTATGGACAGGCGTGTCGCTTATCATGTAAAAAAGTATATTTGTCAGTCAGCCATGATCACGGTATCTGTAAAGGCCATGAAACGTTGGTTTCTTTGAAAAAACCAAACTACATAAATACATAAGTTAATTAACGGACTAAAATAAGTTTAAAGTGTGAATAAGGCAGCTGTATCTAAGAACATTCTGCTTTTAATACTTTCCACAGTGCATTGTCAGCATTGACCCCATAACCTAAATTCAAGGATCGTATCGAACCTACATACATTTAATTTGTAACGTGCTTCTCGTATTTCTTTGACTCATTCATAATAATAGTGTTATGAATTCATATTTAGCATAATAATAGTGTTATTATTTAATAACAAAAACGAATTCGACAGCCTTTGCCCTGAAAAAATTACGCGTTGACAGTTCTCTAGAATAATTATAAACTTTTTATAAAAAAAACTGACCTCAAAAATTCATGGAATTACTTAAATTTGCCAAGTTTTATTGAAATAGGTTATCGGACATTACGTGAAATCGGTTTCATCGCCTAGTTTGGCACCCTAGGAGGTGGTATAATTTCTTCAAATTTAGCTGCGACCTATACATCAAAATCAGTTCACAAATACCGAAGTAACCGCGTAACATACATCCAAAACAAATACAGTCTAATTGATAACCTTTTTTTTATAAGTCCTTGTAAAAGTGATTTATTTTTATAAGGACAGACTTCTATTATATACGCAACACTTCAAAGAATAAATACAATGTTGATTGAACTATTTATAGCTCTTGATTGAAAACTAATGCACATAAACATAAGTAGATAATATAAAGATTTATGTGGTTAATGGAAGCCGCAGAGTTGTTCAAAATTGAAATGAATACAGTAGAACGTAATAACCTTACTACTAAAAGCTGAGTATGGAGTAGAGAAACAATAACAGAGACTTGCGCAGAAACGCATCTGCATTTGTAATATGTTGGTCCGCAGGTTTGCAAAATGCACAACAAGTGTTAAAACTACCTTGTTCAGAGTTTATTGTCAAACTTTCTACACCTGCAGCCTGTGGATCAATTGTACTAAGAAAGCTTATAGCGCACTACGTGTCCTATACAACAATGCGTTCAGGATGTTGATGGGGCTGCCGCGTTACTGTAGTGCGTCAGGGATGTTTGCGGAGGCGCACACGGATGACTTTCATGCCGTCATGCGCAAGCGAGTCGCGTCCCTGATGATGCGCGTGCGCGGCAGCGCCAACAGCCTTCTGAGCGCGGTGGCCAATACAAATGACAGCCCTATACTCAGTCATTGGACGAAGTCGCATGAGTCGCAGATTAGGTGTGAGAAGTGAGGGAGAATCTGGTAATTTTCCCCCATTTCTCATGTGAATTTTTATTTTATTTTTATTTTTGTATCTTAATGTAATTTAATTGTAATTTAATTTTATTTTCTGAATTGAACATGTGAAATCACTAACATAGCTCATAAGGTCATTGTTACTAACACATATGGATGTAAATCTGAAATAAATGTATTATTATTATTATTATTATTTACGCCGGTTAACCATTTACTTAATTAAAAACGCAAATAAATGAATAAATACTAAGACTAGACGTGGATTGAATGCAAGAAATTAAGCCCACTGACAGAGTGCCCAAAATGCTGGAACAACCCCCTTCGTACGTCGACCAATGCCTCTTGGTCCATCCAGTCGAGCTATTATTTCATTGATTTAGCTTGACGTTTAGTTTTCATGAAAGATGGGTGGAATGATATAGTTCTACACAAGTGATCGATTAATTAGTTCTTAAAAAACTTACATTTTATAATCTTAGACCTAAAAGTAGGATGTCAGCAGAAAAAGCTGTCTTAGAATCTTGTGCAAAGTAGATAATATATAGGTATCTAATCATTTACTGTAAGTACAAAATAAAACGAACAAGTGTAATGGTTTGACTACCGCCTCTCAGCCAGAGGCTGTGGGTTTGAATCCGGGCTCGCACCTCGGACATTTTCGAAATTTGTGTGCGAAATTTGAAATCTACTATGAGCTTTTCGGACAAAGAAACGTAGTGATGAA